GCCGGAAGGTGAGAGAGCCTGTACACACTTTTAAGATCAAGTCTGTTTTTGTCCTTAATTTCATGATCTTGGATCTAACTATATTATCACATTTTTTGTGTGTGTAGTAGGACAAATTCGAGTGGCAGTGGTCGTTTCCCGCCCTCTTCACTCGGACCTGTAAGCCCAGTAACTGCTGAAGCTTCTAGAATACCAGCTTGTCATCTCGGGAATATTTTAGCTATATTGCTTACCCTGTGGTGTTCCTCAAGCCAAATTCAGCGTTGAGATCTTGATTCCTAAAGTAGCTTCCGGACTTCCAGTGTAGAATGTAAACTATCTAGGGGTTGATTTTAGACTATTGGAGTATTTCTATTCTTTTTTGTCCTCCTTTTGCTTTGAAATGGCTGTGTTTTGTGCATGGTTTAATCTTTCAGGATCTAGCTTGTTTTGGTAGTTTGGTTTTGATTTCCATTTTGTATTTCTAGTGGAACGAATTGTTCTTTGAAGCTGTCATTGACTCATAACCAGAACTGGAAGTTGGACCAAACCCGGTTTGGTTCTGATTCTCTTAAATTGTGTATAAGACTGAAGAGTTTTAGTGCACTATTCAAATTTTCAGGATCTCATTTTTTCAGTCTTCTCACACAATTACAGAATGACTCCATTTCTTATTTTTAAATTCTAGTATTATAATCTCTTTGGTACTTAGTATGGTAAGTATGTTACATAATTATAATATTTGCATTTATGCTGTTTACGTTTTAGTTTTATTCATTCATTTATACTCATTCTTTATCAAATCCTACGTAGCCTACATAATCTTAGAGACTTAGGGTTTGTTTGGTAATTTACACGTTAAATCTTTGCACGCAAAGTGATTGCATGCAAAGTATAGGGTTTGCTTGTAAAATAGATTACATTGTTTGGTTAGATGTGTAATTTATTTTTAAATTACACGCAAAGCCGTTGCAGTGCTTCATAAAAGGCATGCAAAATATTTTACCACCTCCCCACGTAAAATACTTTACAAGGCACAGTGTGAAATGTTTAAAAAAAATGTCCTACAGTTTACATTAAATAATCAAACCAAACAGTGTAAACATTTGGCATCCTTACACTTTGCATGCAAAGTAATTATTTTGCATCCTACCAAACGCCCCCTTAGAGTGTGTTTGGAAGTTAGGTTTGGGAAGGGAGGTTAGGGAGGGGAAGGGAGAGGAGACTAGTGATGGACCCGGGCCGGGCCGGGCCGGTTCTGGTTCGGGCCTGGGCCCGGCCGGGCTTTTTTTGGGAAGGGAGAACCGGAACCGGCCCGGGTAGGCAAGCGGTTCCGGGCCGGCCCGGCCCGGTTCATGTTTTTTTTTTCTTTTGCTTTTCTAATTAACCCCTGACCCCCCCTTCACCCCCACCCCCAAACCCCCCCAAAACACCCAACCCAACCCAGGAGAAACCAAAATAATTGAAAAAAAAAAGAAATAGGCCCGGACCGACCGGGCTAGTTCGATTCCACTTTTAGGAGGCCCGAGTCCGCCCCCTTTTAATCCCGGTTCGGGTGGCCCGGACCGGTCCTATGATTGGGTTCCGGGTCGGGCTGGGCCCAAACAGTACTAGTTCCGGGCCGGTTCCGGGTCGGGTGGCCCAACCCGAGTCCATCACTAGAGGAGACTGTATGACCAATTTTTTATTGAAGAGTTTTTAAAAACATGTCTAATTTTGCAGTCTTCTTGAAATCCTTTCAAATGTTTAGGTAGTGTTTGGATGCATTAAAAAATGATTTTGAGCTTTTGGTTAAAAAAATTGAAATTAGTGTTTTAAATTAAAGTGACAATTTCTACTTAAATTAACACTTTAAAGCTAAAAACTGGAAGCAGATGAGGAGGTGCTTGAAATTACATTTCACCCTTCATATTTTTTCTTTACACAAAAAACACATATTTTAAACACTATCAATTTTTACTTTTTCAAAAACATTTTTTTTCAAACGCTACCATTTTTAACTATTAAACACTTTCTTTAAAATCATTTTAAAAGATCACTACCCACAAGGGTTGCTCAACTGATAAAACGGTGAGAAAGTTGGACAAATGACCAAGAGTCGAAACCCGCGGCGACCGTGTCGAGGTCACAACTCCTATGTGCTGGGCTGGGCCTCTGGTGCGCATGAGTATAAAGTTTATCACCGTCAGAATTGGTTGATTCATCGTGATTTACAACCTCCTACATGCTCTGTCGGGACGGGATGTGTGGGGTCATTGGGGTTGGGGAGCCAACTTTTTGGACAAACTTTAAAGTAGAAGCAATCACAAACACTTCCTTAATTTCTATGTTTTCCAAATTGCGTGTTTTTGTATGATAGCTTATTAAATAAAATCTTTAACCAAATTTAAAATAAACACAGTTTCAATTATTTAAATTCTTTCGTATTTTATCTTTTTTTTTTTTAAATTTGTAACCCCTAAACAGGAACCAAATATCTCATTCACTTTTGCCTCCATCCTTTTAAGGCTTTATAATTAGTCTTAAATGGTTACACACTTAATAATTAGTCTTAAATGGTTACACTTATATGGAGAATAAAATACTCTCTCCGTCCCCGAAAGAAGCTCCTCATTTGACTTTCACACACTTTTATGCAAGTAAACTTACCAGGGGGTAAATTTTACTGTTTTGACACTGTTTCGACACTGTTTTGCACTGTTTGACACTGTTTTGATATAGATAACTTTCCATTTAAGGAAATGAGAACTTAAATTAAGGACATCCAAATAAGGAAAGTGGGAACTTCTTTCGGGGACGGAGGGAGTATGAGCAAGGGGGTGTTTGGATCTGATTCTTAAAACTACTTCTGCTCCTTCAGAGAGCAGAAGGAGAAGCTGGAGTGTTTGGATGAAAGTGCAAAAGTGATTCTGGTGCTCAAATTTGCTCCGAGAATCAGTTTTTAGGAATCTGGGGGTGACCATCTTCTGAAAACTGATCCTGCTTCTGCTTTGAAAAAGAAGCAGAAGCAGAATCACTTCTAAACACCCCGAACTCATGTAAAAAGATTCATAGTTACGGTACGCTTAAGGCTAGCGAGGTCATTGACACCCCACAATGCTAGAAAATTATAGGTAACATGCATATGTTTAGGCATTTAGCACCATTAATATCTATGTTGTAAAAACCGGACCGGAAAGTGACCCGGCCACATGACTGGGTCACGGGTCAACCCGTACCCGGTGGGTCAACCCGGTCAACGCCGGAAAACCGGTCAATGATTATACATCTATATAATAATAGTAAACATATAATTATATATAAAATTATAATAAAAATTAGTTATTATTCATAATAATCAACTAACAATACTACTTATTAAGCATTTAATACACTCTCATAATATTTCAATGTATATTTTGATCTTATAAAAATATATAATGATATTTTTATTTTTATTGTACATCTATATTATAATTTGGCATGATGTTCATTCTAAAATAAATATATAAATATATTACGTAGTTTTACTTTTTAAGGTATTGAAATTGCAATTTTATTGGTATAAAAAATGCATTAAAAATAAAAAAGAAATTACTTTTTTTTGGTAAAACACACAAAAACTGGGTTTTACCGGGTTTTTTCGGGTTTATTGGGTTTGGGTCTTGACCGGGTTTTCCCGGGTCAGCCGAGTTTTTCCGGTTTTTGACCATTTCTGGGTTTTGAAAAAACCGAACCGGTTTTTTGTCCGGGTCACTGGGTTCCGGGTCAACCCGGCCGGGTCGGGTCGGTTTTTTAAACATAGATTAATATACGGAGTATATAGTTTTAGTATAATATATGTACAACAACTATGATAAGTAAGGGAGTGTGCGATGTACGTAGTCTTACCTCTGTATTAACATAGAAATATTGTTTTCGATGATCCATGATAAAAATCACGTAAAAAATTGTATGGATTAAGTGATTAACTGCTACTTCATAACAATCATAATAAAGAAACATAAACAATTTAGTGAGTCAATTTGCTTAATTTTATCATATTCTCAAGCAATATAATAATGAGTCTTTGCCTCCCTAGGAAATGATAATTTTTTTATAATATGTATAAGTTACTAAAATTGTAAGATAACTTATATTTAATTAGTTATTACGACATATTTTCTCATAGTCATTTAGGCGCAAAATTTAAGTATATATTTTTTTTTTTGTAAATTTTACCTATATAAGTTTTCAATTTTCTTTCAATATTCTAATACTTCAATAGAAATCTATTACATCATTTTTAAGGATTTTCAACTTGGCATTCTTTTTCGGCAACCGGAGGTGGCAGTGATGAAAGGTGGTTGAGGTGGTGATTGAAGCCTATATATTTTTTTTTATTTTTTACATTTTTTATTTTTTATTTTTTATTTTTTATTATTTAAAAAAAAGTCCTATTAAGAATGACAAGGAGAAGAGTAGAATATGAAGAGTTATTCCTATTATAAAAATTTATAACTTTAAGTTCCTATTATTGCAATTTTATTTTTATTTAGTCCTATTTATATAAGGAAAAATTGAAAATAATAATCCCAACTATTACCGGTCCGCTAACAATAATCTCAACTATTGATTATTTTTGTATAATCCCAACTATATGGACCCTCCGCCAATAATGGTCCATGATCGGATATTACTTGTTATAACATGTGAATTTTAAATAGAAATTAAGAGTAAAAATTAAAAGTTGGAATTATTTATAGAGATTACCTACTACGGAGTATATCTTTTCCCATTCACTTAGAAACTATAGAATTTACTCCGTATTTATAGCCAGTCATGTCGGATCATTATTAGCGGAAGGTCCCTAAAGTTGGGATTATTCTGAAATAATCGATAGTTGAGATTATTATAAGCGGACCGTCAATAGTTGAGATTATTACTATCAATTTCTCCTTGATATAAATCTCCCTATTTGTTTTTATTATCAAACATAGCAATTTTTATTTTTTAAAAATTACATTGTTCAAACACAGTCTAACTTTTATTAAAATATAACTTAAAAAATCTCATTTTTTTCTTCCAAAAAAAAAGTATAACCGTAAACGCTCTCTGTTTTGCTAGCTACTCCATCATCACCGAGAAAGGCAAGAACGCAAGAGCTCCAAATTAAGATCCGTCTTTCACTCCATTGAAGGTGCGTCGTTTTTGTTTGTGCAATTGAATCATCTTTCCTTCATTTCGTTATTTAGGTGGCCGAATCTAGTCTCTCCATTACCACACTTAACGCCTAGCAACATGATCTGCGTAAAGGATTGAGACATCCGAGCCCAGATGCAATATTGTAAACGAGAATAGCCTTCTTCTGTTATATTTGTTTATGAGTTATTTGTTTTCATTCTTGCGTGATTTTAGGGTTTTACCATGCTTGGATTTGATTGATGAGGGACTTTTAGGGTTCTACCATGCTACCATCGTTTGATTCCCAGCTGAATCCCTAAACCCTATAAAATCTCAAATCAATTCAGCCTTTTCAATCTCAGTCATTTTATTTTTTATGTTGCATTCTCAATTTCAATTTCAAAAAATATCAGTGTGTATATATAAATAGAAGTACTACTATTATCATAACACATGAATCATAGTTTTAATTTTAATGGTAAAAAAAAAATAATTCCTGAGCTACAATTTCTCATCAAACATCTAAATGAAAATAAATAGTTGTGGGTGTGTTAAACCCGGCCGACCTGCAGCTTCTGATCAGTTAGAATGACATCTTAGTTTAGGAATGGTGGTGGAATGTGCATCGACAATGGCTGAACAGAGGTCAAACGATTCAATGCTGGAAATGGTCAATCTCCTGCTCGAGGCGGCAAGGTATGCTGACATTGAAGATATAAAGAGCTTAGTATCATCTGGTGTATCTCTTGATTCAAAGGATTCACAGGGCCGCACTGCACTTCATATGGCTTCAGCCAATGGGCATCTTGATGTTGTAAAGTATCTCATTGGTAGTAAAGTGGATGTCAATGCATCTAACGAGGAGAAGAACACACCTCTTCATTGGGCTTGCCTTAATGGTCACATTGAGGTAGTCAAGAGCTTGATCCTTGCTGGAGCGAGTGTGTCAGCGCTGAACATCCATGAGAAGACTCCATTAGACGAGGCGTTGATCGCAAGGAAATTGGAAATTGTCGATGCAATCAACCAAGCAGTGATAGAGTTTGAACTTCAACGTGCAACTGTCTCTTAGTTTTACTGTATGAGTAAGCATTATAGTTTAGGTTCTCTAAAAGAATGGTCTATGTGGTTTTGTCTTGGAAGCTTGAATGTTTAATCAAATTTCGCAATTATCAAGTGGTAGGCTATAAAATGTGTTTGACGCTCAAAGGAATTTGTTTGATGCTCAAAGGAATGCGATGTCAACAATGTGAAATTGAACTCTATTTTATAGAGCTGTCACATTGGCCAACCCAACCCGACCCGTAACGGCTTATGCTTTATGTGGGTTCGGTTTGGCCAACCCGTTTAGTGACGGGTCATAATTTCTACAATCCTAACCCAACCCACCTAACCCGTGGGTTAAACGGGTTGGCCAGTGGGCCAATGTAAAACAATAAATGGGTCAGAAACTCACAACTCTAACCCACCAATAAATGGGTTTAAACGGGCCAGCCCGCAGGTTTCAGCATGTTTTGACGGCTCTAGTATTTTACATCAAAAATCAAATTTTGCAATTACATAGTGGTAGGCTATACGTTTGTTGGTTTGGTACTTTGGTGTTAAAAAAGTAGTTATAAAGTTTAGGCGGACAATAAATCTAAACTACCATATAATTTTTCTTTGAAAGTAGTACTACGTATGTAATATTGACAGTTGCAATAATTGCTTATGCCTTATAGGAAAAGAAAGGAAATCAGATAAATAGTCCCCTCGAAAACTTGAAATATGATAAAAAAAAAAAGATGATGAAAATGAAGTCACAAGTCAAAAGCATAAAAACCGACACTTCTAGGTCGACTGTCGAAGTAAAAAGGCACCCAAAAGTTTGTATGTGCGATTTGGGAATGAATTGGCTCCAGAGTCGGATCAAACTGGCGACAACCAACTCAGTGGATGACTTTGATGCTGGATTACAAATAGATCATTAAGGATCATTTCTTAACTTATATAAACTATCCAACACATCCCAAATTAATGATTCAGTCCATTAGTTAGTTGCTTTTATATTGTTTCTTTCTTTTTCCCGGTTTTTTTTTCCGGTTTTCTTGAAGTGTGGAAGTTTACTTTTTGCATTCATTGATTTTAAAGATTTTTTTTTTGTATTTTAATGTTCTTTCACTTTTGACGCATTGTAATCTTGATTAATATGAGTGTTACAGACTAAGTTCTAAAGCCAATGCTCGGGATAAACCTCTACGCTCGCTATTCATTTCCAAAGTTAAGTGTCCACATATAGGTTCAAAGAGGCGTGCAAAAAAAAGGTTCAAAGAGGCGTGCTTAGAAGTCGCACAAATGTAATCAAGCCTTTCCTAATAGATGCAAATAGAGTGACAAAACTTGTGTTATGTTACAAATAAGTTGACAAATCAATTCCCTCTATGCCAAGTTTTCCAAATATTCAAAATGTGATACACATCAATGAGAATGTTTGTTCATGTCTAAAACCTCACGACGCTTCTACATGAGTTTGAAAGGGTATGATCCACACAATATGTGCAAATCAAAGAAATTCATAACTAAGGTTGTATCCCTACGAGCAGTGAGCATGCCTTTTTTTTCAAATAGTGGAAATATAATTTGGGATGGTTAAATAGGCATCTTCCTGCTCATTGAAAAGGTTGCAACTAAAGAGAAGCAAACATAGAGACGACAAAGAGGGAGTCATGGAAGCAAAGCCTATACCTAACATCACATATGAAGTACCTAGAGAGATGTTAATCAAAACAGTATTACCAATTTACCTGTAATCAAGACAAAATGGCCACAACCAAGGTCCAAGGACATCACAATTTAACAGGATAATACAAGGCCACACATTTTAGTCTCACATGCAGATTATATGGTTGCATCCGAAGTTGATGTGTTTAATATAACCCTTACTAACCAGTCCCTTAATTCTCCCGGTCTCAACATACTAGAACTTGGATTCTTTAGAGTCTATGACAGACCAAAAATGCACCCAGGAATGTTGATGAGATATCACACAACACTCTCAATAAGGTATGGTTAACATATAAATATGTGGCAGTAAAAGTAATGAAAGCGGAAGGTGGAAACAACTACAAGCTACTATATCATGCAAATGATGGAGTGATCACAAAGAAGGATCGATTTCCATTGCCATGGAGATAGATGTGGGACTTCTAGAAGCTACTACATAAGGGTTCTTGTCCCAACAACCAAGGTCTTCTAATGACATACAAGAGAAAATTTAAGGACATTTCATAATTGCATAGGGCGGACTGACAACCTTTTATCTTTCGTGCCTAAACGTAAGATTGAATAATCATAATAAAGGGCGAGCTCACAATAGCTATTGATTCTTTGAGAGTAAAATTGAGGTAGACAGGACTTGCTTAAACTTGAGTTCGAAAAGTATGTGTCCATGTTCAGTTATGGACTCGTTCCAATTGACTATTTTGGTTTTTAGATTCTAGATTTAGTTGTATAGATCAATATTTTTGTCCTTTTCACATAGGCCTTAAGAGTGAGGCACTGAGGCATGCATAAACATGTAAGAGTAGATAATCAGACATGGCATTCTTGTGTTTTCCGATGAGAAACACATAAAAGTCTTTCCAAGAAAGGAAATGCTTTTACATGCCAAAAGCTGAAAATCGGTAAAGCTTTTTCCAAGAAAGCAAATTTTTTTAGAGTACATGGTTGAAGAAAACTCCGCCATGAGATCAATTTTTGTTGGTTTCATGCCTGTCTAAGGATGGCAATGGGGGCGGGGGCCCGTGGGGAACCGCCCCGTGGGGGGGAGTTGGGGCGGGTGGTGGGGTGGGGCGGGTGGTGGGGTGGGGGAGATATTTTCTCCCCGCATAAATATGGGGCGGGTGATGGGTTATGCACCCCCCGCCCCGTCCCCGCCCCGTCCCCCGTAATAATTAATAATAATAATAATCTCAATAATAATACTAATAATAATAGTAATACTAATACGAAGTAATTAAAATAGCATGGTGACCCGGTGGGTTTAGTGATTTCCTATCTAATGGATTGTGCCTAATGGGTCTATCTAATTCTTGTTTAATAACTAAGCTATCTTGTAAAATTGCTTATCAAAATCATAAAGTAAAATGATTTGTTTAGGGATAAAGTAAAATGAATTTGGGAAAGTTATAAAGTGATATTAGCTTAAACGCCCTAGGCACAGTGTGAAAGTTTTTTTCCTTTACTATTACAATGCATTAATTCTTTTCCTTTGAATGTCATCTTTATGATTGTAGTTAGGGCTCTTAAAATTTTGTGATCATATGCCGTCCTAGATGCCATCAAATGACCATGATTGATTGAATGCAAGGTTTAAGAAAATATTATAGATCTAATCAATGCTAATTTAGAGTTTGATAAAAATGACTAAATTAGGACGTGTATAATGTGTTCTAGATTTGAAATGGGATGTAAGATTACATTGACACTTAGGGTCTGTTTGCAACAACTTCTGCTTTTAAAAGTGCTTTTTTTAATGAAATGAGGAGAAGTGATTAAATAAAAGTTGATAGTGTTTGAGAAAAAAGTGATTTTGAAAAGTAAAAGTGGGTAGTGTTTGGTAAAATAAGTGCTTTTTGTGTAATAGAAAAAGTAAAAGCACTTTTGACGCGAAAGCCGAGAAAAATAAAAGTTGTAGTGTTTGGGAAAATAAGTGTTTTTTTAAAGCCAAAAGCTGAGAAGTGCTTTTTTAAAAAGAGTTGCAAACCAACCCTTAAAAAGTAAAAAAAAAAATTGGCTACTAGAAGTGTTGTTTAATTTTTGAAAAATTGTCAGTCTAAAATGATGTTAATTTTTTACGAGTACTTCCCCCGTTGGGTACCCGTGGGTCTAGCGGGTCGGGGCGGGGATGGGGCGGGTCGAATAGTAGTGGGGGATGGGGCGGGGGTGGGGGCGATTTTTTAGACACGGGGCGGGGGATGGGGGAGTGAACCCCCGCCCCAACCCCGCCCCATTGCCATCCCTATGCCTGTCCCAAGCCAGGATAAAGGAGGAGGGTGCTGTGGTAGGCGCGTGACGGCCAACAGTAGCACCTAGTCACATCACATGACATGAATCGAAATATGAATACCGCTACAGCTAGGTCGTCGCTCGTAAGCGACACAACATCCCTCCGCCTGGGGGTGGTGTCAAATATGCAAGGGTGCACTACACTTCATAGGCCTGGGTGTGGTGATAAGAATGCTAAAGTTGCTAGGTCGTCGCCCGGAAGCGGCGCGTCATCCCATTGCCCGAGGATGATGTCAAATATGCAAGGGCATGGTGGGGTCCGAGGCGGGGCTAAGAACAGAAGGTGGAGTGCTAGATTGCGCTTTGGGACGTGGAATGTTGGGTCTCTTACAGGCAGATCTTCCGAGGTAGTTGAAGTTATGAGGAGGAGGAATATCAGCATTATGTGTGTGCAAGAAACTAAATGAGTTGGAGAGAAAGCACGTGAGATTAATCCCGGAGGTTTTAAATTGTAGTATTCGGGGAGAGATAAGACCAGGAATGGGGTAGGCATTATTGTGGCGTGTGACTATGTTGAGGATGTGGTAGAAGTCTTCAGGAAGAACGATCACATCATGAGCATTAAATTGGTGATGATGGGTGAGATTGTGTCTGTGGTTAGTGCCTATGCACCACAAGTGGGATTGGATGCATCTACAACTCAACAGTTCTGGGAAGATCTTGAAGATGTGGTGCGACGAGTGTCAAGGGGAGAGAAGTTGGTCATATGAGGTGACCTCAACGGGCATGTGGGCTCGAGTCGTGATGGCTTTGAGAGTATTCACGGTGGACATGGTTTTGGCACTAGAAATGAAGCAGGAAAGAACATTTTGGATTTTGCCTCGACATATGAGTTGGCTATAATGAACACTTGGTTTAGGAAAAGAGACTCTCACCTTGTAACCTATAGAAGTGGAGCTAATAGTACCCAAATTGGCTACTTCTTAGTACGGACTACTTGGAGAACTAGCTACACCGATTGTAAGGTTATCCCAGGTGAGAGTGCTGTCACTCAGCATAGGATGTTTGTGCTTGACTTTCGAGGTAAGAACCATAGAAGACAAGTTAAGCAATAAGTGGAGCCAAAGATAAAGTGGTGGAGGTTTGAGGGGGATCTTCAACAAAGCTTTACACACAAAATGTTCGGTGAAGATGTATGGCGTATTGATAATGGAACACATTGATAGACGTTATATTTACTTGTGTTTAACATAAGTATTTACAAGTATTTGTTG